TTTACAATGCAACAAAAAGTTGTGCTTCTGCCTGTTTTTTTAAATATTTATTTTTTAGTTTTAGGTTAACACTATTTCTTTATTTTATATTTATGTGGTGCTGAGGATCGAATCCATTGCCATATGCATACTAGGCAAGCACTCTACCACTGAGCCACAACCCCAGCCCCTCTGCCTGTTTTACTTTTGGATTTTTTTTTTCTTTGCCTGAGAAATTTTAAAAAGGTCAAAGAAGCACTGAAATATATGATCCAAAAAATTTTGGACTTTACTGAACTTTCCAATATTTACAAATATCAAGATGTGGTTATCATTTAGCCAAAATGTTTTGGCATCTTATAGACCTAGCCTTGAAAATTTTAAAAGGGATGTTTAGCTGTTCTATGAAAAGGACAAAGTTCAAGTCATGGAAAAAGAATGTAAGCTGAGAGCCACCAATGAATACACACAATTCATTTGAATCCAGCAACTGGTGAGGTCCTATTACTGTTCTTACTATAAAACTTGGAAGAAAAATAGAGAGAGGTATCGGAAGTCAGAAAAATAAAGAACAGGGTGGCCATTGTTTGGATTTGAAGGTCAAGTGTACAGGAGTGCTCCATCCTACTATAAAAAGGTCCAGGATCTGAGAAGTCTTAGATATCTTGGAAATCAGTATTCATTTCACTGTCTTTTCTAGAATCTGACCCAGTCACTGTAATCATTTGTGTAAATATCTGTTTATCCTAAAAACAATCAGAACACCACAGGAACTATGCAATTTTATTATGTAGAGGTGAATCATCATGTGTGGTTTTGATATAATTTTCCTACCTTTTTTTTATAAATTTCTAATGTCTAAGAACATTATTTTATTAGTTTATAAAATAATTTTCAATATCTTAAATAATGTACTGACAGTGATTGCTGCTAATGACTTCCTTTGCCCCCCCCCCCCAAATGAATATACATTAAAGATCATAATGAATTCAGGGGAAAGGGCAAACCTGCACAAATATAAATAAATAAATAAATAGAATGAATTAGAATTGACTTGTTATAAAAGATTACAGCTTTTCTCCTATGATAATTTGGTAGTATATTCTCATTATAGGACTTATTAGTTATACTTTCTTTTGCTATTTGTTATTAGATTAAATAGAAATTATTATCATTAAAAGAGTTACAATTTTCAGGAGACTGTTTTTTATAACTTTATCATAAAAGAAGGTGACCTATTTGTAATGGATGACACTTTTATTTGAAATTACATGAATCAATTTTTTTTTCCCCCTGTGGTAATGGTTGATATTTATTGAGCTCCAACTGCTTGCCTGGGTTTACAATCAATTTATCTTCCATTTTGTTGTTGAACAAAGTACAATGACTCTAAATTATTTGGTAAATCTAAAATAAACAGAATACTTCTTTAATCACTTTTCAAATTTAAGAACATATTATTCATTAAAGAGTGCTTTTTCTAAGATGGCATCTTTGATTATAATCTTACATTTATTTCACTTTACAACTGACACAGCACATAGAAATTGAAGTAATGTCTCAACCAGGAAAAAAAAAAAGCCACAATATTACCCAGAGAGAATTCACACCTTTACAAAAGCTTTAATCTTATCGGATTCACCATAGCTGAATTGACTCTATGGGAATTTGTATTTTTTTTTAAATAGCATTTTGTTGTTCTTTGTTCTTTGACTGGATATGAGTACAGGCAATTTTGAGAAGGTAGAGGAATGTTAACCAGCATCTCACATTACTGAATATTTATTTTAGTTTCATCACAAGTTTATGTCATCACAAGGTTTAAATAACAGAACCCCAAAAGAAATACCTAAAATTTTTAAGAGTCATTTCAAACTTGAAGCCATTTAATGTTGATTGCAGCTGAACGTGTCTACACATAGGAAAAATAAAATCACAAATTTAAATAGGGAAAAGAGAATAATGAGGAATATGAGAACTAGATTTAGAGAAAAGATGTCTGATTTTAACCCAAGCATTTTTGCCCAAGAAAACGTAAGATAGTTGAAGCGATCCAGAGTTTATCTTGCTCATTGCCAAGAGGGTCTCAGAAAGACTTCTGTCTCAGTTATAAAACTGTGCAGAAAGTTCCTGTGATTAGATTGAAATTAGAATGGAAGGAATGAAGAGATAAAAATAAGTGCATTTGAAAGCAGTGGAAAATAGCTGTTAACCAGAAAGTATTATCTGTTTTTTTTTTTTAGTGAAATAGTTCAGCAATAATATTTTAAAATGTGTAATTTGTTTCTAATGTGATTCCATACATAAGCCATCCAAAATTTAATTTGTCTATATACAGAAACCAATAATTCTGCCCAAACTTACTTAAAAATTCAGTATATAACATATTTTTCAATTGGAAAGGTATTTTCAGTGTTTGAAATTATACTATAAAAGTGATTCTTTTTGTTGTTTAGAATTGAAGTTGTACAAAGTAACAAACAAAAAAGAATACTTTATTATATTCAGTATTATATTACATTTATATTTATCATCAACATATATCATTACATTTAGAATTGATATAGATCAAACAAAATCTCCATTGTTTTCAGTTGTTGATGGACCTTTGTTTTCTTAATTTATTTTTATGTGGTGCTGAGAATCGAACCCAGTGCCTTACACATGCTAGGCAAGCACTCTACCAGTGAGCCTCAACCCTAGCCCTCTCCATTTATCCTTTTACTATACAAAATTATTGATGTTAACATGCAAGCACCTTTGGTAAAGTAAGTAAAAGATATTGTATTGAGTCTACTTCACTTACACCCTAATTTCCTGTCTGGTCAAGAAGATCAAACACAATTCATATTTACCCTCTACTATATAAACAGGTAGCCTTTGAGTATATACTATGCAAATTATTATATGCCCTTTACATGTCACCTTAACATTATCTCTTGGAAGATATATTATGAATAAATTATTAATCTCATTTTCTAGAAATGGAGGCTCCAGCATTTAAGGAAATCATATTGGTGTGCACATCTAGGGTACAAGTACTGTGATGATGTTCCTGTGTGGGCTTATAGAGGGTTGACTCCCAAAACTGTTGCTGTAGTAGTTATTTCTGTTTAACGTCTACTTGATGATTAGAGCTCTCATATGTGGTTTTATTGTGATTTCTATTAAAATCCACTCATGCATCTTAGTTGCCCCTTTCATTTCTTAATATCTTTATGAAAATATCTTGATTTAGGCTACGCTGACATTTTTTTTTTTTTAAGTTTGCCTGGCTACATATCATTTGGCTTCTCCAGTACTAGATTCCATTGTAGGTTTTACAATTTGAAGGAAGTGTGAAGGGCAGCTATTTGATAAATATATCTTCTTAACTGGCCAATCAATGCCTGAACATATTATGTAACCCCTGCCTTTAGCACCGTGCCTTTCCATCTGTACACAGAATTTTGAAATTTCAGTCATATTGACTCTGAGTAGTATTGATCTTTTTCAGTTATTTGGATGTTAGTGAAAAGAAGGCCATTTAAATTCAAATATCATGTAGTATATTCTTTCTCTGGAGACTAATAGCTCTCATTCATTTCAGCAATGACTCATATGAATAAAACTCTTTTTTTTTTGGTTCCTTTCTTTCTTTGCTTCTCTCTTTCATTCCTTTATTTGGGAGAGAAGAGTACAGGAGAGTGAGGTCAGCTCAAGATTATACTAAAGAAATCTCACGAAGAAATCAGAAATGTATCTTTAAGCTACTTGTTTACAGTTCTTGCAATATTGCCTGTAAGATAGATTAGTAGATAAAAAGATATACATTCATTGTTGACCTGATAATATGAAAAAAAAGAAGCAAATAAGTTGTAAATGATGAGCTATTAATTATATGTTTCCTGACATGAGGAAATGTTAATTCTGGCAGATAAGTCATTTGTATGAATAATTGCAGTACTTGACAGTGTGTAAAGTTGTAAGACTAACTCAAACATGCTATAACAAGAAGCTCTATAAAAATTTCTTGGAAGTTACACTTGAACTAGCTTTTAAGAGTAGGAGTTATCTTGTCCAGGTAGCATGTTGCTGTAGGAGTCAAAAGTAATGGCACAAAGGCCAAAAAGTGTACAACTACAAAGTATGTTTTCCTGCTTGACAAAGGACATGAAGCTAAGAAACACTGGTCTTAGGTCTAAATTGGAATGGCCTTGACTTGACTGCCAATACTAAGTTAAGGAACATTAAGCTCTCTTGAACTTTAACCTCTATTGAAATCATATTTTGGATAACATGATGGAAGTCATTAAGAGAGAGAGATAAAGCAAGGCAATGTATCACATGAATGTAAACATGTATCACATGTTTCCTGGGTATAGGGCTAGGACAGAGAAAGGGTCTGCATTGTTACTTTCTCTCTTTGAAAGAAATTCTACATTTTGTGAATTCTGATAAAGGGTTCCTACTATGTACTGGAAAAACCTGAGGTATTAATTCAGGGAATAGTTTTGAAAAATATAGATGGTGAAAATAATGACATAATGATCCAAAAGACATATTAAAATATCTCAATAAAAAGAGACCTGAAACAACCTAGGAGATTAAGTTTTATGTTTTCTACACATTCCCTCTGCCCTGTTGGCCCCTATACTTACTCTTCAATCTATTAGCTTGGAACAAATAAAACCATGTAAGCAAGTCTTCATAAAATTATGGAAGTTTATATATAATATTGACTATTCTGATCCATTACTACCTGTGAATTGATTCCACTAAATGAGCTTGTATAGACAAGTTCTTTCTCTCTCTTTGTACTAATAGTGTGTCATCTTGAATATGAAATCAGCAAACTGATGACCATAACCACATTTCAATGAAATGAAAAAAGTTTAGTTTCTGTGTATTTCTTAATACCATGAAGAGTAGCCACTGGTTGATCATGACAGCAGACAGTAGTCAGATTACCATGTACCAATAGCTTCTGCTCATGTAGGATCTCACATTAACACCCAATGTTTTGCTTTGTTACCTTGCAGAAATGTTGGAATCCAACAATGTGATCACTTTCAATGGCTTGGCCAACAGCTCCAGTTATCATACCTTCCTTTTGGATGAGGAACGGAGTAGGCTGTATGTTGGAGCAAAGGATCACATATTTTCATTCAACCTGGTTAATATCAAGGATTTTCAAAAGGTATCTTCATTTTAATATGTACACTGTAGTTCTTGTGAAACATCTTAAGATATATAGAATTTTCTAGCTATTAAATATGACAACTTATAGAAAACTGTTTTAAATGAATACTTTATTATTTTAGATGCAAAAAAATTAATGACAATATCAAATCAATGGATGCAGTAAGTCATAAACATCATCAATGAAGAAAGCATAGATCATTATAAAAAATACTTAACTTTAGCTAATTCAACAATAATTATATATTTTTCCTGCAATAAATTAAATAACTGATTAAAAATACATCATTACTGATTTCATGCATTATGTATATGTATTGTATTTATACATTTCTCTATATTACCAGCAAATGCAAGATTCATCAAACAATTCCTCACATGCATAATCATATGTGCCACCAATGTTTGAAAATAAAGTTTTATTGGAACACAGGGATTCTCATTAGTTTACATATGTTCTATATCAGCTTTCATGCTAAAACAGCACAGATGAGTAGTTGTGACAGAAATAATCTGACCCGCAAAGTCTAAGATATACTAAAGGTACTATCTGGCATTTTAAACAAAATGATTTAGAAGATCAGTCTTAAAAAAAAAGAAAAAGAAAAAGAAAGGAAAAGATCAATTTTCAAGATGTCAGATTTTTGCCAATGTGAACATTTATACATCAGCAAGAAACCAATTTATACTTATTTCTTTTAGTATTTTTTTCTTATATATAAGCTATACAGGTTGAAAAATAAGCATGGATTTATAATCTAGTAGAAATTATGCTATTAAATTTACATGTGACACTCTAAATTAACTATTTTTAGGTAGTCAGTTCTTCCAGTCTTATTTCCCTTAGGAACATAGGTCTTTATGAAATATTTTTCATGAGAACCATAACACATACATGTCAGCATCAATGTGTATTCGTTTTGCTTCTTAACATGGAGGGCTTTAGAGATGTGTGCCTTGACTACTCAGAAACTGTAACAGATTGGATAGTAACTTTCAAAAAGTCCCTAAATTGTAAAAAGTTTATGTTCTCATTGGAGAATGCTGCTTTTGGTACAAAATAGAGGCTTATATTCAAATATAAATTTAGTTTGAAATTCATTAGGAGTTAGGTGACTATTCATTAATAAATAGCGTTAAACTAAGACTGTTCCATTTTCTTCTGTTACCCAAACATTAACATTCTGATCATATTCATAAAGAGGTTTGACTCATTATATGTAGTTTTATAAAAAGAAACACACATAAACACACAGATGTGTGTGTGGGCATATGATATGGCATTTAAAAATCACTCTTGGCATTTTTTTTCTGATTTTTCAAGTTGATTGATTTCTAAGCCTCCTCAGATGATAGTAATACATACTTAAGATTATCTATTATCTAAGAAAATTGCTATTCATTTGTTTTTCCAAAATGATAAAAATGCTTGCATTAATCTTTCAAAAATCTCACAAAATACTTTTTATTGTTGTATTATCACACAGAAATTGCTCTTTATGAAATGAAATCAAAACATAGAATGATTAAGAAAAATCTGACATTTTAATTTTAGGAAATTGTAACAGTTAAACTTGTCAGTATTGTTTCTATTATTTTGTAAAACTGATATACTTAAATATATACATGGATGGATAGTATATAAGCACAGATCACCTTACACTATATGTTTCATGTGTTTAACATTTTTATTTGGATAAATATTCTAAATTTGGCTTATGTGTTAAATGTTTCTAAACTGAAAGGTACCAAGTTATCATAAAAATGTACAATTTTATAACTGAAACAACTCCTAGAGTCACTTGTACACCTAGCATGCATATTACAAATATTATATATATACATATATATATATCATATATATTATAGTTATACAATCATATATATTACAAATATTATATATATATATATATATATATATATATCTCATATATATTATAGTAATTCCTACCAACTGGTATTGTAATAAATATGTATGTGTTATGAATTAGTTTAAAATTAAGTGAATTGCCTATTATCTTAGTATTTTTGTTATAATTCTTACCCTTGAGTTTAAAAATATCATGCTAAAAAGAGAAGACATTTTTCTAGTTTTAAAACATCCCATTTAAAACAGATTATTAATTTTAATAATCTGTTTTATTTTTATATTTTGTTTAAAAGAATAAACTCAATTTACTTAAGTGTTTATATCTGTTTATTTATGTTTGGTATGTTTATTTATTTTTTAAATAATTTTTTAAACCTATGTATAGATATTTAGCAACTTTTTTGTAAACATTCACTCTTGTGATAAACTTTATAAGAGTAAATTTATGACTATGCAGGTTATAAATAATTCTTCTTCTTGATGACTTTACAAGGTAATAGTAAAGATAAGATGAGTGAGCATAAAGGTAAATATTGGGCCAATCCCTCCTCTTAGAGGCGAAAACACATTCTCAGCTTTGGAAGAGCCATGGAAGTTATTTACCTTAGTAAAAAGCACAATCTCTCTAAGGCATACATATTTACTAAAGATCATAAGTAAGGGGGCAGAGGTTGGAACTTGGTGGTAGAGTACTTGCTTGGCATACATGAGACCCTGGGGATCAATCTCAAACACTGAAAAAAGAAGAAAGAAAAAAAATCATGAGTAAAGATGGACATGAATAGAAGCATGGAATCATAAAAAAAATAAGAACAACTGCAAAATATATCACAAAACATTCTGATTAGAAGGGTAAGAAATTTAGACAATGTTAGGTAAATTAAAAGTTTGGGGGCAAAGGAACAAAAAGAACATAGCATGAATATGAAAATTATTTTATTAATATTTGACATAACAGTGAAACCACAAAATAAGTTCTATATTATCTCAATAACAAACACTCAAAAGCTAGGAATTATGAGAAAACAGATTGTCTTTTTAAATAAATACATATATTTGCATATATAAACATATATATGTTTAATAATCTGTGATTTTAACATAATTTATCTGGAAAGTAAATCTGTCAAAAGACAGCTCTGATATAATATTACTGTTGTACCCTAGAGAAATTTATATTTTATCTCCTCCGTGTAAACTGTAAGAAGAGATCATCTGACCTCTGCAGAGCCAATTGGAAGATTAGAACTGTGTAATGAGACTGTCCAGCAAACACTCTAGAATTTCAGGAGTCAGAAAAATGCTAATTGTAAGGATGATACATTTACTGTTCCTGAATATTTTTATTATGACTACTTTGTAAAAATCTTGTAGAACAAGTCAGATGACAGTTTTAATTTAGACATGCAGACATATGTGAAAAGTACATAAAAAGAATATGCAAATTAAGAGCTTAATGGTAAAAATGAATGCATACTCAATAATTTCTAGGTCTTTTATATTTGTGTCATGTTACTGAAATGTGTTTATCAAGTCATCATGTTCTGTTTCAATATGGCCCAAATTCTTGCTTATAAATGTGTTGTATTTTGGTTTTTAATTCCCCAGATTGAATATCACAACCTTTGCCCATGTGTGTGACCATATAAATTGAATTATCTGGAGGTTTCCAAATGAATGGTAATCAGTCATTTTGAGGCTAAAAACTTTCCAGCAGACATGAATGATTAACGGCCACTGTCTCTGGATTTTTCTTTTACATATGACATTTTTTTCTTTGCAATTCACTAATAGTACTAGAAGAGAAAGATGAATAAGTGAATATTAAATTGTTCTGCCCAATACAGATAGATTCACTGGAATTACTCAGGGGATCTGGAAAATTCTGTATTAAAATTTAGATGAGTGCATTCGGGTTATTATCATGGAGAAAAATATATGCAACTGTCCAAGTCACCAGTAACATTTGGCTCATCTGCCACTGTGACCATATTCACAAAATATGTAAACTTTGAACAGATAAAAAGCAAATATTAGAGATGAAAATACAATTATTCCTCAACTAGTCTAAGTTTAGCCCATAGTGGGAGGGTAATTTTTTTTTCTTCTACAGTTCCAACTTCATATTCCAAAAATATACAGTTCTACTCTTAAACATTTTCTCTTTCCAAAAGAAAAAGAAGAAGAAAAAGATTCTTTTGTAAAATGGGATTTCACACACTTTGAATTCCCATTCTAGCATGTCATCCTGAGATTTGGATCAAAAAAATAGATCCAGGGCACCCCAATGTTAAAATTTTAAAATCACTATTTCCTGATAAATACTGACCAACTTAGAGGAGTATGTGCCATATTCTGTGTTGATTTTTACCTTTCTGTAGATTCTCACATCCCTAGGATTTTCTTACTCTCCCAATCTGTGAGACCATTCTTTCCACTGTGTACTGTTCAAATGTATTGACTGCATTCATTTGTCTTATTCAACTTTCATGAACAACAAAGGTAATGGGTAGACAGAAAATGATTAACCAATTAACTGATATTAGAATGTCTAAACTGAAAATTTCCTATCACATAATGTTTTGTGGAAATTTCTTTACCTTAGTTCCCCCAACCTCATCCAAAATATTATGCAATGTTAGATCTCTCAGAGAACTTAATTGGCACAAAATAATGTTTCTTCTCTATCCTTAGATTGTGTGGCCAGTATCTTATACCCGAAGAGATGAATGCAAGTGGGCTGGGAAAGACATCCTGGTAAGCATTAATCTACTAAATCATTAATTTCCTAAGTAATGTATTACTCTATTTTTATTCTGTGTTCTATTAAACATCATACTGTACTTATGGGCTTAATCACTCAAGGAATAAAAGAATACGATTTGGGAAGCATTGATAGTTTTTGAAAGAAAATGAGTAAACAATAACAACATTCCTCCGTAAAGAAAACTACTGTCCCTTTGATGATTTATATATGCAAAGGATACTAGTAAAATGCAATTTTAGCAGATATACTTATATTAAATAAGTTAACTTCTTTCTGCAGGTTGATTCACATATGTTAGTTATTCTATAATTTATCTTAAATGATATTGTTTCCACATCTGAATTATCATGATTTAGTTACCCCTTTTTCTTTGTGTTCCATTCTTTTTCTTTCTTCCTCTCATTTTTACAATAAATATTGATTTATAAATAAATATTGTATGTAACTTTTTACATACAATATTTAAATACAAATATTTACATACAAAATGGCCTTTTCCTGGACACTGTAGAGCCAAAGGTGAATAATATGCAACCCCTATGATGGTTTTACCATTGTAAAAAGGTAAACTTTGTTAGTAAAATTAAATGGGCACTGACTTGGGCTTTAGCCAAGTGTCTACACAAATCATGGAAAATAGTTATAATCACTTCAATGGATTAAAATAAATTACAGAAATGGAAAAATATAATTTTTTTAATCAATCCTTTGGAATGTCTAAAACACAAAGAAATAAGTTTTAAAGTTTTGTCTATTTTAAAGCATTGACATTTAGAAGGAACTTATACTGTGTGTTGCCTAAAGAAACACCGACCTCCGTTTTGTATAGATATATTATTATTATCAAGGGACAACTTGACTGATTTGTAGCAGCTGCCTAAATTGATATTTAGGTTTCGAAGGATGTAAAGGGAGGATCTGAGTTCATAGGAAAAGAATGCCTCAATTTATTAGCAATGTTGGCCACTGGTGACTTAAAGTAGATTAAGGAGCAAAAAGCATAGGTAGTCCCCATCCTTGATCCACCTAAATGTTAACAAATATGGGAAAGTCATCCTTGAAAATTATATATTAAATATAGGTATATGTTAAAAATGATTCATGATGTTAATTTAAAATAGTAAAGCAGCCTTTTTTCAGGACTGCTGTAGTGGAATTTTGTAGGTTGAGAGTAAAAATGGGCTCCAATCTGAATACAAAAATAGGCAGAATACAAAGATAGGCAGTGCAGTCATGAAGCAAGGTGGGGTCAGTGGATGGAAAATTACTGGGAGGAAACTTCAGGAGTAAGGGGAATTCTGGCTAAACTGATTTGACAAGATTATTGCTAAAGGCAGACCGGGTTGGGTAATGCCAATGGTGAATTTGATCAGATATCAACAGAGGGGGACTTTTTCTAAATTAACCAGCAGGATTCTTGCTAAAATCAAAACTAAGCAGAGATGAATTCAGAAACCCTACAGAAAACAGTTTAGGGGAGCTCGACTAGAGTTAGGTCAGTGAGAGTCAACCAATGTAAGTCACTCCATACCTTGATCATTCATGTAGACCAAAAAAAAATTTTTTTTCAAACTTTTACTCTCCCAAACTGATACATATGTTGAGACTTTTGTAAAGGACTTATTTTCTACTCAGAAAAAAACAAAGAAGTAGGAGTCCAGAAATGCTGAGAATTTTACTGCAGTACTCTTTCTGACTCATTAAATGTCCTGAGAAATTATTTTAACTTTCTTTGGGCTTAAATTTCCCATCCATTAAATGGAACAAGATACATTATATGACTATGGGAGCAAGTTTTAATAGGTATTGTACTAATTATTAGGGATAAAAACACTTCACAAATGTAAGATCAAAATGCATAACTCCATAAATAAAAACTTACTAGCATTAAAAGGCCACACTTATCATTAATAAATTACATTGAAACTTTTCAGTACAATAACTGAGGATGAATAGAAATGATTATCTTACCTGTATATGGTTATTATTTTTAAAAAATGCAGACTTCTAGATTTTTATTAATGTATAAAAGATAAGGAGAAAATTACTAAGAAAATTAAGATGCTTTCTGGTACCAAGCACTACAGTAATTTACAAAGGATTTTGCAGATGTTATTTTAACAACAGTTTTATGAGGTGGGTATAGTTACCCCCATATTCTTGATTGGGAAATAAAATAATTCAAAATTAGCATTTCATTAAAAGATGTTGTACATTTTGGGTATTATGGTAGAAGTTAGGATAAAAAACTAGGCACACTTCCTGTGCCCTTGTGTTGTTTTTATTGTTAGTTGGAATATTTTCATTTGAATGTGCCTATTACATGATATATAATAGAGAACTGAACAGATATCTTCCCTTTGTGGATCATCAAAAGTGTAATACTAATAATAACCAGCTCTCAGAGTTCTTATAAAAGAAATACAAGTGAAATTATTTCAAGACTGTGATATTAACTATTAATAATATCAATGATAAATTATTAACAATTAGTGTTATTGGTATATGTGATAGAGTTATGTGCACAAAGTTTAAGTAAAAACATTATTGATGAAATTTCAGCAGCTGTAATAAACTCGTGATCTCACAGTGCCCCACAGTTAACATAATCGTGAATTTAGAAATTTCTTCTCTAAAAAGAAGGACAACTTTACTGTATTTTCCAGGCTTATTGAAAATGCCTACAGATTTTAGGGAACTAAATCAAAAGGAACTAAGACACATGGAGTTTAGTAAATCTGATACATTGCATAAGTGACATCTGATCATGTCATACTATCTTTTTACGGGGGATGGATTGAACTCAGGGACACTCAACCACTGAGCCACATCCCCAGCCCTATTTTGTATTTAGAGACAAGTTCTCACTGAGTTGCTTTGTGCCTAGCTTTTGCTGAGGCTAGCTTTGGACTCGCTATGCTCCTGCCTCAGCCTCCAGAGCCCCTGGGATTACAGGTATGCGCCAGACTGAACTGGGCATGTCATAGCATCTTATTACAAAGATTCTCAAAAAACGTATCTCTACTATAGAGTATGTCATATGCCATACTCTACAGTAGAGATAAGTGCTTTGAAAGAGATTATTTTTTAAATGTTCAATCATGATTACCCTAAGTAATCTTTTCAAATGTAAACTAATTAGCATTATAAAATATGTGTGCTTTTTGGTATTCTTATACATTCTGCATTAAATAAGTTCAATTGTGCATTTGGAATTATCTTCATAATACTTATTTAATGAAATGAAAACAAAATAGTTTTGACATATTTTATTTCAAAAAATGTATTTTCATCTAGTTCTAATTAACACTTAATTATATTTCTATATACTATTTTTTGGTAACTCATTTTGATCCCTTAATACTGCTTTTCATTTCCAAATTATTGAATATATATTTTCTGCATTCAGAATACATTTGATTGAAGTTCACTTTAGTTACAAGGCAACGTCATTTAAGTATTACCTTGATTTATATAGTCATTGCATTCAAAATAAGATGCATGGCATTCTTTGGTTGCTCTTTGACTTTCATTTATAGATGCATTTTTTTCCTCTTTCTTTCTTTACATATGATTTTATTAACACATGACTTCCTGGGATTCATAGAATTTTTCTTTGATAAACATAGAAGGTAAATATCACTAATATTTTAACAATAATTTATATAAACAATTTGAAAGATAGATTAAGGGGAAAGAACTTTTTTCATTCAACACCTGATTTGTGAAGTGACAGACAGTTTGATGGGAATTCTGCACTGCATCTTGAGTAAATACCAGTCAGCTGGGATTTATGGATAATAATTCCTTTCAAAGAGCCCTTGTGATGCTGGAAACCACAAGAATGAGGCTTGAGTGGGTTTTCCAGCCATTGAGACTCCAAAGTAGAATCATAATCAAAATAAGAACCGACCTGAACATTCATAGAAAAGTGAAGTAACAACCTCCTTGTGTGCTCTCTCTGGTTTCTAAAGTATGGGTTTATCACTTACCTGATGTTTCTTCAAAAATTTCTTTGGAAATAAAGTGCCTTTCAATAAATCATTCTAGGGAAAGTGGTATCTTCTCAGCACTCAATTTAGACCAAGGATACAACAGGAAAAGTTGGGCAAAGACACCAGCTAATGTTATCCACCTTGGGAATGAGTTTTTCTCAGATTTGGTGGAGGGAATGTTTTATTCATATACAAGGATTGCATGGTCATGGGGAAGTGGGGAGAGGCCACTGGACTGAAACTACATAGTCCCTGTGTAACTGCATACAGTATCATATGTAAAAGTATTCCCTCTCCTCATTCTTCCATCCATCTGGGAAGGTCCAACCCATCCTCAGTTTTGCATTAAACATATGTCAGCAACTGCAATTGGGGCAACATTAAGTCAACAGCTGCAATTGGGGCAACTATTCATAAAGAATGAACTTTGTGGTGACATGGTTTCTGCAGCTTGAAACACATATATATGGTGCACACACATACAAATGCACAAAGTAAACAGCATATATGACATTCATTTTTTTATTATGTATGTGTGTGTATGTATACATAGCCACACAAATATTCAGAGACGTGTGTAGATGTGTGTATACTGGTAATGACATTTTAAACAACAGTAATCTAAATATATTTTTTCTTTTGAAGTGAATATACAGGATAGAAAACATATCCTATTAATATGCCTTTATTTTCCTGTTGTTGTATGTTCTAAACATTAATATTGCTGTAGCATTTCTATTATTAGAAGAATAAAATGCTCATGAACTTTTCCATTTCTGTTTCTTAAGATTTACTTGAAAAAATATGTAATATGTAATACTATTGGAAAGAAATCCTGAATAATGAGATAAATGCAACCCATATATTTAAATCTGACTGCTGCTCTCCACCTTTACTCTCATTTTTGATATGTTCCTGGGGCATAAAATCCACTTAGTTATTCACAATAACATTTCTATTGATGGATTAACTTCTTGACCCTGTTTTGCAAATGA